CCTGATCTAACGCTAGAAGTGCCAAAACCGTTACCCAAAAAAAAAACAATTTATGCAACTTTGGCAACCCGATCGGAAAGGAGAAACAGTAAGTTTTACATTATCAAAACGACAAGTGAACGTTACGGCTAGAAAGCCTTCATAATCACGAAGCGCGAAAAGGCAGTTTTATGTTTAAAGCCAAGAACACACAATACCACTTAATTGAAACGGTAATACGGACATATACAGAACAGACGAGCACAAACAAATAGTAGTAGTTCAGGGAACAAGAGAGAGGTGAAATCAAAATTAGCACCTCCCCGTGTGGGTTTTAGGGACCCTATTTCGTTGGAGTGGGGAGACCCTAATACCCTTAACAAAGATGTTGCAAAAGACGACTAATTAGGGATTGATTGAAATCTGATGTGTTAATCCAAAAAGCGCAGATATCACAGCTCAGCGGTAAACCACAATGCAACGTTTTGATGAAGGGGGTTAAGGATCAGCAGTGAGGTTGTGTGCCTCCTAAAAAAAACAGCTTAAATCGCAAGGGGAGACAATGGCATATCGCGTTTCCATTTCTTCTTCTCCTTCTCATTTACCAGCATTAAACTGGGATAAGACGTTCTGGTTGTTCTTCCATCTGTGTTCTAAAACTTATAGTTTTGTGTATGCATCCATTTCACAGATAGGGCTTATCTGTGTGCAAACTGTTGGGTAATTGCCTCTCAGGCAGGTGCACTCTGATTTCAAAAGAAACACCAAAGGAAATTGTATGTGTTGGACTAAAGATATTGCAGCCTAGCTGTAAACTACAACAATATTTGCCAACTGCCATTTTAAGGGTGAATGCATTAGCAAAAGAGGAAGGAGGAGAAGAAGAAGATGGAAAAAAAAGAAAAAGCAGTAGCAGCAGAAGAAGAAGCAGCAGCAGAAGAAGAAGAAGAAGAAGAAGAAGAAGAAGAAGAAGAAGAAGAAGAAGAAGAAGAAGAAGAAGAAGAAGAAGAAGAAAGAGTAAAAGAAGCAGCAGCAGCAAAAGAAAAAAAAGCAGCAGCAGCAGCAGTAGCAGCAGCAGTACCGGTCCATCCATATTCCTCAAAAGAAAACTCATTGGGTAACTGAACCTATTTTTTTAAAATAATTTGTCCATAGCGTGCGGTAATGGTCATCGTGTCTCCTTATGTGGGTTCTGTGACCCCGCAGTAAAAAGGTGGCGGGGGCAGACCGAGTGCTCCTTGACTAACATGCCATAAAAAGTGATTCATTTGGGGTTTACAGAAATCAGATTTGTTGAGTCAAAAGATGTGGTTGATATGAGCCACAAAACAAAGCCTGCATAAACAATAACATAACATGTGACCAGCCCTTTTCTTAAGGGCAGATGCAAAAGAAGATGGTCATTGTTGACTTTTGAGATCATCTTTGGACATCACCATAAGTGCTCCGAGGGACATGTTCCGAGTGCTGTGAAGATAACCAAAATCATAACGAGAACATGAGACTCCCATGTGGGTTCCCGGGTTTGTTGTGGGGGGAAAAACAAGAACGGACACTGCCTCCCCAACAAGCATGTTGTAATAGCCGACTAACTGGAGGCTTCCTCTGAAGTCAGAGTGGAACTGACTGAGAGGCGAGAGGCTAGGTACCAAGAGTTTGCACGAAAATAAGTTAGATCATGCAACACTCAGGTTCTTTTATATAGACTAAAGTCTAGATGTGGAAAAATGTTGTTATTGTTGGTTGCGTTCACCGGCTATAAACTCCAGTGGAAAGACCTGGTTGTTCATCCATTTCTGGACTTTGGCTTTGTTCCAGGAAATGAGTTTTGTGTGTGCATCTGTTTTACAGATCTGACTTATTTGTATGCAGATTGCTGGTTCCTTGCCTCTTAGGCAGATGTACTCCAACTTCAAAGTAAGCCCCCCAGTTGGTCGACTCTTACAACATGCTTTTTGGGGAGGCAGTGGGTCTATTCTTGTTATTCTTATAATGGGGCCCCAGTACCCACACGGGGGATGTGGAAAAATAACCAGAACCTTCCACTGGAGTTTACAGCCCATGGAAGCAAGCAAAGAAGAAGAATAAGAGTATGGGACCATTGTTGTCATGGCAGGTTTTCAACATGCCTGTCCACAGATGTTCATCTATCTGCAGTCATTCTCTGCTTAACCTCTATGCCCTTCCTGATTTCTCCCTCCATGCAACATAGTCAATGGTATCCTGTACCCCAAATTTCATCTCAGTTTCTGTATCACTCATGTCCCATTTGCACACATCTTTATATCACAGTAGTAATAAATACAGATCTTTGTTAATTTCAATCATTATTTTTTTGTTAATACTTTCAATACATATACACACTCCTTATTTAAACAATTCTATTTGATTGACCACAAACCTGAAAAAGAAGTTTGATCTTCTCAGCCGTCAAAGTTATTGGGAAAAACAAACTCAAATCACAGATGTCTGCAACAAAATCATACTGCCCCACAATTTATTACCCAACATGTAAGGCTGGATATTAAAAAGCCAAACTTTAGCCATGCCAGGCTGGATATTAATAAACGAAATGTGATCCATGTCAGGTTAGATATTAATAAACCACAATTTATCCATGTCAGACTGGATACTAACAAACCAAACTTTATCCATGGCTGGCTGGATATTAATAAACCAAACATGATCCATGTCAGACTGGATATTAAAGAGCCAAACTTGATCCATGTCAGACTGCATACTAATAAAGCAAACTTTATTTATGGCAGGCTGGATAGTAATAAACCAAACATGATCCATGTCAGGTTAGATATTAATAAACCAAACTTTATCCATGTTAGACTGGATACTAAAAAACCAAACTTTTTCCATGGCAGGCTGGATATTATTAAACCAAACTTTATCCACACCAGGCTGGATATTATTAAACCAAACTTTATCCACATCAGGCTGGATATTAATAAACCAAACTTTATTCTTGTCAGGCTGGGTATTTATAAACCAAACTTTATCCATGTTTGTCTGGATGTTCATAAACCAAACTTTAACCACGTCAGGCTGGGTATTTATAAACCAAACTTTATCCACGTCAGGCTGGGTATTTATAAACCAAACTTTATTCTTGTCAGGCTAGATATTAATAAACCAAACTTTATCCATGTTTGTCTGGATGTTCATAAACCAAACTTTATCCATGTCAGGCTGGGTATTTATTAACCAAAGTTTATTCTTGTCAGGCTGGATATTAATAAACCAAATTTTATCCATGGCAAGCTGTATATTTCTAAAACAAACTTAATAAACACAACACAGGAAAACTCGATTTCACCACAGCTAACGTATAAAAGTGAACAAGAAAATGACACGACAAAAGCGTTTAAGGTATTTTGGAATAACATGATTAAAAAATGCTTCTTGATAAAAGATGATAAATAACAGTAGAAATAACAGGCTGTGGGGAGACAAGACATCATCTCATCCAGGTTGCCAGGCACATGCTTGAGAAATCTCTGGGGTATGCAATATAAAAACATCTTTATTACAAACAACAAAACTAACTCTGTGGTAAAGTGGTCAATCCGTTTGCCTTGCGCTCTAAAAGTTGTGCGTTCGTTTCATAGTGATGTCATTCGGTTAATGAGCGGATTATTTACAATTATCCCTGGGAATCGCCACTGGAGCTACTGAGTTCAGGCTTTGTGCAACATTCTCAGCAGGCAGCTAGCTGTTTTGCTGAGAGAGACCGAGCCAAACGGGATAAATCCCAGTGCAATAGAGTTGTTTCACTTACCTTTTATCACACAGGACTACAGGTTGCACCAACCTGGTGTGGCCAATATGACTGCCCCAGTTATATCTTTATTTCTCAATTAAGATGAAAAAGAAGAATTTTAAAAGCTATATAAATCCTATATTGATAAATGGAAGTGAATCATGGCCAGTTGATAGATTAGTGAAAAATTATTTAGAAGCTGCTGAGATGTGGTTTTACAGACAAATGATGAGAATACCCTGGACAGATAAAAAAGAGTAATGAAGATGTCTTGAAAGTAACTGATGAAGAGAACTCATTGCCCACATCAGAAAGAGACAATCTACATTCTCTGGTCATGTGATGAGAAGGAGAAAACTGGAGTACATTGTGACAGAAGGAAAGTTGGAGGGGAGGAGAGGCAGAGGGAGACCGAGAGAACAGATGCTGGACAGTTTTACATCATGGCATGAAGGATCATCTATGCCAGAGTTGACTGAAAGTAAACAAGACAGAAGGTTGTGGACAGACATGACTACCAAAACCACACGGCATGGACTTTGAGAAGAAGAAGAGGTTGAAGAGGGTATCAATCCCCATTTGGGTTCAAGAGCCGCCTTTTGGAGAAAATTATAAATCCAATGCTTTCTAACAAGCATGTCTGTAGAGGAGACTAATTAAAAAAGTAAAGATTCCTTTTCACGCCTTAGGCGCATCGGGCATATGGGAAGAGCGTCCCATATTTTCACAGACCAATCGGCACTGGATGGGTAATGTGGTCAGCATTAGAGGCGACTAATTAGGGACCTGATAAAAGATGTGTTGGGCCAAAACGCTGTTAAGAATTCTCTCGCACTTTCCTCCCCTATCTCTCTTTCCACAAATCTTTTCCAGTTGTTCCAGCCTATCTCTCTTTCCTAGTTGCCTCAGCATGTTCCAGCTTCCCTTAAACAGTGATGACTGTCTCTTTTAGATATGTGTGATACACTATCTTTGGGTCCTCTCCTCTTTCAAAACATCTGGGTTACACATTTTGGCTGCCTCCAAGGAAATGTAAGCAATCTTCTACACAGCCAAATCTCTGAGGCTGAAGAAATTTGTTTGGCTTGTTTGTTAACTGTCCAGGATTCTCAGCCAGATTTTGAAAATGGGACTACATAACATTTGAGAATTCTTTTCCTAAGCTCACATGACAGGGATTTGCAGCAAAAGATCTTACTTCCTAAAAGAAAATTGTATAAAAGCCATTTTTCAGCATATACATAAAGAATTAATATACAAGTTCTTTGGGCACTTCCCAGGGAAATTCTTCACGTCCAAAGTGGCCATAGCAGGCTGTTTTCTGGAAGATTGGCTGACGTAAATTCAAATCCCTGAAGAAATAAAAACAAATAAATATCAATTAAGGAATAAAAACACAGACTGACTACTAGACATGTTGTAGTCGAGGTTTCAACTTGACTGGAATCGGGTCACACCATTCTTGCTCTGTTCCAGTGTCAGTGAAAATCAAATGAGATGACCCTCACTCTCTCACTTGAAAAAACTGGAAAGAAACAATTAGTCCCGGTACACATCATCATCATTCATGGCGTAGGCGCTCATGCGTCTCCACAGTTCATGATCCCTAGTTGCCTGGAACAGCTCTCGATGATATCCCTCCATGACATCGTTTTAGATCATCCAGCATCATCTCTCTAGGTCTGCCTCTGCCCCTTTTTCCACTGATCTTTCCAGTTGTCACAATGTTCTCAAATGTCTCTCTTCTCATTATGTGGCCAAAGAACAGTGTTTGTCTCTTTCTTATTGTTAAACAGAGAGATCTACTTTCATTAGCTTCTTTCAAGCAATCGTTGTTAGTTACTCTGGCCGTCCAAGGTATTCGTAGAAATACACGAACGCAGTAAATGCATAAGGCAATGGCTACAGTTTCTAACGCCAACAGTCGCTACAAGATATGTAGTCTGCCGTTGATGGAAGTAGTCAGTCATGATAAGTTGGCTATACACACACACAGTTATTGCATAAAGTATTTTTGCCAGCCGACACGTTAACTGGCCACCGGCCATACTGAAAACCACTGTTAGCACCCCCCCCCCCCCCCCCCCACCCACCCAGAAGGCTAAATCTAGTTCGCTCTGGCTGTGACACAACCCTGTAAATGTCAATATACTACCATTTCTGTTGTGATCTGTTCTTAAGAGATCAGGATACACAAAGAACTTTTTTTTTAATTTATTAACAATGTTATACCAATTAATGGTTGTTTTTAGTTACATGTTTTGATACATTTTTACACTTGGAATTTAAAAAAAAAAACTGGTTGCCACAGCAAAAGCAACCATCTTGAAAAACAAATACATATATGTTGAATCCGAACATTTCAGAAACAAACACGGGTATTGAGAATTAAATTACAGATTCACGAATTTTAATCACACTTTGGGGCAATGCACTAAATTACTGTGGTGAAAAGACTATTTGTAAATTGTGTTTTGTTTTTACAATTTAAAGATTCAGGTTTGTTTTTAAAAAAGGGGGTGGAAAGGGGGGAGCACAACATGTAGCATCATGAGGCAATAAAAATCACCCTAGCGTGATGTTTGATGGTTTTATCTGATGTTAAAGAACAGTTTTCCTGTGGTGAGTTTACATAATAAAGACACAAATGATACATTGCACAAATTGTTGCCAGGCATACTTCGCTGCCTCTCATCGTGTGCTTTACTACAGAGTTGCATCAACAAATATCATCGCAACACCCATTAGGTGAATGCTGATATTAGAGGCAGCTTTATTAATCAAACTGTATAATCCTCTATTATGTAAACAGAAGGAATCAACTGTCAACTTGAAGTTACCCTGGTAAGTCACGTGACTATCATAAACTTCCGACAATTAGACAATAATGGATTGAAAGAGACCATTTTGAATGTCAGTAAAGTTTATTCATTTTTTATGCACCATTTTATGCTGTTGTGTCGGCTCTGTGGCTTAGTCGATGCGAACGCTTCGCTTTGAAATGCCGGGATGCCGGGTTCGATCCCAGTTGCTGGTAATGGGCCTTGCGTTGGTTTCGACAGCGGTATCAAGAAAGCTGACCGCCCAGAAAGCAATGGCAAACTACTGGACGTAAATTTGCCAAGAGAAACCACACAACAGCCAGGGGCTGTTTGGGATGGTTCTGCAACGTCCTGTAAAGGATACGCAACTAACTAAATATGCTGATGTAACTCTGTAGTTATAAGATACAGCAAAATATGCCACACAATAAATTGTGCAACGTAATGTATCATTTGTGTCTGCATTATTTATGTGATGTGTCCGGGCTCGCCCCGATTGTGCAAAACTCACTAACAAACCGTAACTTCCTCTCTAGGTATGAACCTGGTTCTCAAAATGAGAAGGAGAACCATCTCAGCAAAGTATGACACCAAGAAAGAAATGTGCGAGGACACAAACAAACTTACGTGACTATCTTTCCCGGTCTGAGATCAAAATTGTCCTTGATGATCTTCAGTAGCTGTTGCTCACCCTTCTTTGCTGTTCCGAAGCTGAATACTGTTATTGATAACGGTTCTGCAACTCCCATTGAGTACGAAATCTGCGTGAAAATATTCCATCTTAGAGTTCGTCTATAACAACAGAGGAATTTTCAAAGCATTAGGAAAACTGGAAGTCAGCAGAAATCTAAACTAGCACTAAACTTTACCCTTTCACCCTAAGAACTCTAACAAACAAACAAAAACAAAAAATTAAGTAATGACCCTGTTAGGGTTAGTGTTAAAAAAAAAACCCATTTATACAGGTCACCACTACGTCTGTTAAAAAAGGATTTACTACTACATCTGTTAAAAATGGATTTATCAACATTTTAAAACTATGTTTTGAAATATATAAAGATAAATTTATTTGACATTCAGCACAAAATAGTAATAATTATTATTACTACTATGCATTTAAACAAGGCTTATGCCCCCCCCCCCCCCACCCCCCTGAGGCCCCCTAGACAATTATAAGGACCCCCCCTCCCCAACAATTTTTTGCAGTGGTGCCCCTCTCCCGGAGGTATCAGTCTCACCAGGTATGACTGCTGAGTTTTCTACTTGCATCACTTGCTTCCTCTCAGCCTTCACCATGCCAACTCTATGATAATGTGGTTCATAGAAGCAGTATCAGCAAATTTATCAGTACACTCAATGCCCCTAACACCTGCATTTATTAGGCAAAAAATGAATGAAATATTCATGAACTAAATCATTCAGGCAAGACAAGCCATTACAAGTGTAATAGATAAGGTTTTTTTAAAAATTTATTTATATTTTTGGAAGCATGCTTAATAAATCAGTTCCAAATGCAACATGACCAGTATACTATCAGAGAGCTACAGTTCAAAGTCACTCACAATACCAGAAGAAACAGGTTTACGAACACCAGCATTAGAGAGGAAGTTGGAATAAAACCATATCTGGATTATACTGACAGATACAGAATGACATGGTTCGGCCATCTAGTCAGAATGAAGGCAGGCCAAACTGCATATGAGAGTTTTTACAGCAGAACATCTGGGAGGAAAGCCAGAGGAAGACCAGGAAAGAGAAGGAATAATGGTGCAGCCGAAACCTGCAAAAAGATTAGCTATTCCATCATCCAAACCACCCGAGAAGCGCAAGACAAATACAGAAAACCACAACATTGGATTATAACCTGGTATCAGTGAGACAAGAAAAGAAGAAGAACAACAAAACCTATTCAAAACCTGATGCTGAAATGAAGAATAGGACTAGAGAAAAGAAAAAGAAGAAGAAGCAACAAAACCACACTCTTCTTTTTTGTTTGCTCTATATTTTTTGTTTTTGGACATCACTGTGTTGTGCTTGTTTGAAGAAAAGCCTCACTATTTGCACCATCTGGCAGACACATCTGACTTCTAAAGGGCATTTGCTGACTGCATTATTCTTCCAAGAGCAATACAAAGCACACATTTTTACTGATTGGAACTTCATAAAGTTATTACCTGGACTAAAGCTCTCCGACAGAGACCAGCCTTCACCAGTGACTTGGCCACCCATCTAGCAGCGTAGGACCCGCAGCGCTCAATCTTTGCCCCATCTTTCCCTGAAAGAGCACCACCCCCGTGAGCTCCCCAGCCTCCGTAAGTGTCTACGATGATTTTTCTGCCCGTCAAACCTGCATCCCCCTGAAATCAGAACAGAAACCTTTCTCTATTAGACTTGAGTCAAACATAAAAATAAATAATTATAATGTTAATAATGAAAAAATAAAAAAAATAAATAAAAATAATTAACAGCTTCTATGTAGACGTGTGCTTTCTTCATTGGAGGTCTTTGTGGCAAAGCAGTTAACTCTTTGAGTCCCAGCAAGTTTAGCATCACATGCCCAAGGGGTAGACAAGAGAGATGTAAAATCGGCGCACCATGCGTTCATTGGGCTTCTAAGTAGGAATCTATGAACGTATGATGCGTTCCTTGGGACTCAAAGAGTTAAACCTTTTCCATCGCACTTCAAAGGGCATGTGTTTGTTTCTCAGATGTATCATTCAGCAGTTTTTAAGAGATGCGTTGGGAACATCGCTGGAGCTAAGCAGTTTGTGCTTTGTGCGGTGCTTTTGGCAGGTGGCCAGCTGTTCCGAAGAGAGACACTGAGCCCTATGGGATAGTACCCAATGCAAAAAAAAAAAAAATGGATCCTTTTACCTTTAACTGTGTGTTGTGTGTTTTTCCTTTAGTTTTCTTTCCATTCCTCACCCTTTTTAACTTTCTTTTTTAAAGAGATGCAGACGACTTAAGGAAACCTGGAGAAGCATAGCAGAAAGGGAAATTGTGGAATGTCAAATGACACGGGATACCATGGGCAGAAAAGCATCAGACTGGCAGCAAGGAAGATCACCGGTGAATGAATGGCTTATGAGTCAACATAAAGAGGAAAGAGACAGAAAGAGTGATAAAGAGGAGAAGAGAATAAGTACCATTAACACAAACCCACCCGCACAGCCAGAGCTTCACCCTTTCCCTTACATGCAGCGGCGAGTCGCACGGCCTGTCCTATGTTGCAGGGGTGTCATTTTTTGTCCTTACTTTCAACGGTTTAACTGTTCTCTTTTCTCGTGTTGTCACCGCTCACCTGTGTGATTATTTCCACATTCTGCTTCTTGCCGGATGGTTCGGAAATATGGAAACTGCGATGTTTTTGTATTTCTATGTTTCTTGTTAGTGGCTTGTTTTTCTGAAAGAGGGGGGAGGGGGGGGGGGGGGGGGGAGAGCCACCACCAACGAACACAGAAATAAAAAAACATCCCAGTTTCTACAGTCACAATCGGGCCTTCAGCGCTTCCTACTGCAGTACTTCTTACTTGTGCACAGGCGCCTGGGACACCTTAAAGAGACTCATGACAAACAAAAACCTCCCGCAAATATTGTATGCGGCGAGTGAATGTTCAATGAAGCCATCTCATAACACACCCACAACACAGGACAGACTGTGCTACCCGCCGCGGCATGAATGGGAAGGGAAGGAACTCTCATTATGTGGGCGAGTTTGTGATAAGTTCCTAAAAGCAAGATAATAAAGATCAGGATGAGGATGATGATAATGGTGAAGAAGATGATAAGATGAGGATGATAATAATGATGAAGAAGACAATAAGGAGGATGGTGATGAAGATGAGAAAGACTAAAAGATCAGGATGATAATGATGACTCTGATGATATTGATGAGGAGCATAATAATAACAAAGATGATGAGTATGGAGATGATGAAACCCCCACCTGTGGTCCACCAATAATGAAACGGCCTGAAGGCTGAAGGTGGTACACTGTATCCTGGTCTAAATACTTGGCTGGGATGACTTGCTGGATAACCTTCTCCCTCAAATCCTTCCGCAGCTCCTCCATGGTCACCCGCTCGTCGTGCTGGATGGAGATCACCACAGTGTGGACCCGGACCGGCACCGTTGCCCCATGCTCTATTCTATATTCAATTGTCACCTGCAATATGCAACAGGCAATTGTGGCTGAGGGGTTATGAATGTAGTTTCACAATTATGATAATCATGTTTGATTCAGCAGCAGGCAATTGTGGCTTAGGGGTTATGAATGTAGTTTCATAATTATGATAATCATGTTTGATTCAGCAGCAGGCAATTGTGGCTTAGGGGTTATGAATGTAGTTTCATAATTATAATAATCATGTTTGATTCAGCAGCAGGCAATTGTGGCTTAGGGGTTATGGATGTAGTTTCATAATTATGATAATCATGTTTGATTCAGCAGCAGGCAATTGTGGCTTAAGGGTTATGAATGTAGTTTCATAATTATGATAATCATGTTTGAATCAGCAACAGGCAATTGTGGCTTAGGGGTTATGGATGTAGTTTCATAATTACAAAATATGAGGTGTTTGATTCGGCTGCAGGCAATCTGGCAGCTGATTGACCCCCACCGAGTTCAAGAATGTTCTTCTTCTTCTTAGAGTTCACCATCTGTAAACTTCGGCAGAAACTTCTGGTGGTTCATCCACTTCTGGACTTTGGTCTTGTTCCAGAACTTTAGTTTGGGTAATGTGAAGAAGAAGAAGAAGAAGAAGAAGAAATAACTGGGCAGATGTCTATATATGCCCCATAGTTTTAAACACCATATATCTGACCAGCATTTGATAGTGATTTGGTCAACATCACAAAAACCACCCACCTTTACTTCCTATGCCATTTCCCGCTACCCATTTAAGGCTGGGTCAAACCTGGGAGCCAAGGCCAATTACTTAGACACAGATGTAAGGGCACTGACAGATCAGCATTCATACCCAGAAGACATAATCACCTACACAAATGGATCAATGAAGAGCAGATCAAAGTCAGCATGGGCATACACATCATAAAGGATGGGTAAATTAATTAAAAAGGACAGCGGTGCTTACTAGACAAGCACGTCAAGCATGACCGTGAAGACAGCCGCTGCTTCAACAGCATTAACATTAGAATCCAAGCAAACAGCCACACATGCAGTAATTATATCAGACTCCATGAACATTCTTCAGAAGACAGCAACAGGCGGTATGCGCTATGAATGGGTAGAAAGCATTCAAAAATTGCAGTTAACCTCCCTAACCAGGATCTACACATTTAGACATGCTGGCGTAAAGGGTAATGAGCGAGCAGACCAACTGGCAAGCACTGCACCAACGCATGAGGGAAGAAGCAGGATGGACAAAGCAGATATTATCAACGCTGTACGGAATGGACTAGTGGATGATGACGAATCCCTGAAACTAACAGGATTATGTGACATGGAAGTAAAGCAAATTGAAGCCCATCTATGTCACCTTCGAGGCTGAGATAGGAGACATTATAACCAATCTCTCATGAGCATTTAGCAGAAGTACACTGGAGTGGCTGCTGCATCGGGGGACTGAGCACACATAGGAATGCAAAATGTGCAGTGATGTTGACTGTGGTGACATCACATGTCCTTAGAACTCAGCACGGTGAAGATTTAAACTTGTAAGTGTCCTGCCTCTGTGGTTCCCTACCAGTAAGTGAGCTGACCCTATTCTGCATCTGCCACACACTCGTGTGTTTCTCATCGTCCAACACCTGGCAGTGCAGTTCAGAGCTCCTCTCTGTCAAGTGGAACACCAGTGATATCAAAATAGAAGATAAATTTGAAATTTAATTCTTCTTTTTCTGAGTCTGTCCTTAGAAGGATGACTCGCATCTGGTGTAGCAGCTAGATGCTCACCTGTTGATCGGAAGGTCGTAGGTTCAGGTTCTGATGATACCCTACTTTTCTTTTCCAAAAATGATCTTGGCTACCAGGTCTACCCAGCCTTGAATGGGTGCCAGGTGGAGTCCTGGGAAGTAAAAGGGACCAGTGTGATGTTGACGACGTCACCCACCAAGTACCGACTGGTCTATAAAATATAGGTCTAGCCCTATATGCCCAATATACCTGAAGGCGTGGAAAATGGTCCCTTTCTCTATCTTGACTTTACTTATATCAGTTGAATTGAGTTGAGTCAAGAATTGACATCACAGCACTCAGGGCATTCCTATGTGTGCTCCATCCTCATCTTCAGCAGCCAGCGCAGAGTTCCAAAACTGATGGTACCGATCACAATCTGGTTATATTTGGTCTTGCCTTTCCTCTGAGTGTAGTAAGCTGGCCAGGCCTGGATGGCTCATTCTCTCCAGGCCATAATAATCTTCTTTCCCTACTGATTCCTATGCTTGTTCCAAAAGGACCTTGACCACGTCTGCCTTGTCAAGTATCAATTTGCCACATTATATCAGATTTCAGCAACCACTTTATTAGTTGCCTTTTACAACATGCTTATAAAGGGACAATGGGTTTATCGCTACACACCCGTAAACCCCTAAAATTGGACCCAGAACCCAACCATGGACTGAAAGTTTCGAACCTGAGTCTTACTGTCAGGTCTGGCCCAAGTTAGTTCACCGCTCTTTCTCAGCTCTGCCATTTTTGCATTCAGTTGGTGAGACAAGAGAATGGTCAGTGGCATGCATTCTGCTGTCTCATCGGTTGCATATCCAAACATTAGGCCCTGTAATAAAACATATCAAACATCAGATTCCATAATAAAATAAATCAAACATAAAATATTGTAATAAAACATTAATTCCCATACCAAAACATATCCAATCATCAGAACGTGTAATAAAACATATCAAATGCCAAATCCCTTAATAAAACATATCAAATGCCAAATCCCTTAATAAAACATATAAAACATTAGATCCTGTACAATAAAATGAGCAGGAGAGGGAAACAACTACGGAAGCATAACCTGGTCTTTAGCAGGGCAGTTCTCATTGTCCAGTCTCTCTGCTGTGTGGTAGAAATGACAATACATGGCCAGGAATGAAGTTTCTCTTCTCAACAGCACAAAGCCTGGGCAATATTATAGAGACAATGTCTTACCCGTGCATAATAATTCGTCTAGGGGGCTGCGGGGTCTCAAGGCATGGTGTCCGCCTTGAGTGCTAGAGCTTCTGGGTTCAATGCCCTGTAAGGACTGGGATTTTTTCACGTGAACTTGGACTTCCAGTAATTTCCCCCTGGTCTCTGGGTAGTGAGACCGGACACCCGTGTGCATTGCTGCACACGTAAAAGATCCGTTGGCAGTTAGAGAAAAGGTAGCCTAACAGCGCTGCCCAGGCAAAATTTTAAGTTTAAAATCTACCCGCATCATTTCAGGATCCTCGCTGGTGCTACAGAGTCTGTGCACTGTGCTAAGCTTCTTCGGACTCCGACTTCAGTTAGAAGAAGAACAGAGCATTTATGGGTTACTACTCGCGTACCACGATGTTGATCTGTTGTTCAAACTTCAATGATCCCTCTCTCTCAGCTCGCAGTGGTTACTTCAAAGGAAGGATGAGGAATGTCTACTACAGAAGCTTTCAGACTAGAACAAAACTGCTCTGTCTGACTGCAGGTCAATGCTTCTCTTCTAGACTAGCTGCCTGGTTATTATAAGTGCATTTAAATATTGTGACACAGTTGGAACGATTCTGGCCGTACAAATTACCTACATACAATCGACGTCTGTGGGTTTGATCCCTGCTGCAGACGATTTGTCTTGCTGCAGAAGGTTTGTCCTGCGCTGGTTTCGACAGTGGTACCGAGAGCTGACCATTCAGTAAGCAATGGCAAATTACCTAACGTAAAATTTGCCTATAAAAACCACTACAGCCAACAAATGCTGGGGCTGGTTCTGCAACATCCTGTAAAGGATACGCAACTAACAAGCAGTTTATATTAAAACTGCAGTCCTAATTTTCCACAAGGGCTGAAATTGACATCCTGTTGTAAGAATTGATACCCACCCCTAATAAACATAGCTGCTTTGCCCTGACAAAGGCCGCCAAGGACGTTCAGTTTGTTTAAAATTTGAGACATGCACTTTGGTTATTGAGCAATTAGAAACATTTCAGCTGGGTCACAGCCACCTGTTCCAAATATACGACTGTCGCTTAGTTTCACATGTAAACCAGCCTTGATGACTAGGACCAGCAATCACGGGAACTGGTACAGGCAAATGTCAAATCATCCCCGACACAGAAAAACATGTTGGATTTCTTGACATATTTCACCTCACATCCATAAAGTAATTTCACACCTATGAAATCCATGCTAAGGCCAAATCTTTGGGAATATTCTGGAACTGAAAAACAGTTCTTCAATACAAATGGTGGAAATGAGACATGTGATACCCCTGAGGGCCCTCTACATCATGAGGAAGGACCTAAATTTATAAAAACATCACTCACACTTTGAGAAGTAGACAGTCAATTTAAGATTTTATTCTGAGGCTGAACTGAGCTGGTGGCGTATGCCTGGATGACAGACCGCTTGATAGACATTTTAAGAAAAGATGTAAACTTAAAACAGGATTCTATATGGAGGACTCGCAAGGAAACCATAGGAGCTAGAAAGGAAGATTATATGAAAAACAAGGTTGACCAACTTACACTAAAGCAATATTCTAACATGCTTACAAAATAAAAAGACATATGAGATGGGTCAGAGCGAAATTTGCCTCATCATTTAAAAGCTTTGTGGTGAAAGGGATTTCTACACTATTAATCTAGTATTGTCCCAGAAGAGAATGATAGCTTGTTTATTCGTGGACTATGATAATTATCGTTAGTGGAGTTCAACTTTCAGAGAGACAAGTCTCATATCATATGTATACTTGTTGTTGCGTAGCTGAATGACCTGTCTGCAAGATCCCTTATCATTAAAGAACTTAATCGATCACTGAATCACGGCTTATGGTCTGTGTGCCTGTTCATTGTTGAAGGATGCCTCATATAGTGTTGCATAAAAGCAGACTGTGTCCATGGTCATTAGACCTGGCTGTGTACAAACTGGCGGCCATATAGCCAGGTACTGTCACAATATTGCCACATTCTGTCCAGATACATTATTCAAAAATGACCTTGGCTCCTAGGTCGACCTAGTTTTGAATGGGTACCAGGTGGAGTCCTGGGAAATGATAGTGACCACATCACCCACCAAGTTGTTGTTGTTGTTTGCATTCACCTGCTATAAACTCCAGTGGAAAGACCTGGTTGTTCATCCATTTCTGGACTTTGGCTACGTTCCAGGACCTGAGGTTTGCGTTCACATCTGTTTTACAGATCTGACTTATTTGTATGGAGATTGCTGGTTCTTTGCCTCTCAGGCAGATGCACTCCGACTTCAAAGGAAGCCCCCAGTTAGTCGACTCTTACGACAAGCTTCTTGGGGAGACAGTGGGTCTATTCTTGTTTTATTCACAATGGGGCCTTAAGGCGTGGCAAGGGTCCTTTATTTTACTTATGTCCAGATAAACTAAACTACAATATAAATGAGCAGGAAAGGAAACACAAGTACGAAAGTATAACCTGGTCTCCAGCAGGGCAGTTCTCGTTGTCCACACTGTCTGCCGTGTGGTAGAAATGACTGGAAGAGATGGTCTGGTCAGTGGGTTCCTCCACTGCCACAAGGACATTGCACGTTTTGTAATCAAATCCTGCAAATGCATCAACATTGACCAAAGTCAGAGACCTTCAATCTCTTTGTCCCCCCCCCCCCTCTTCCCATCAAACCATTGGCAGTCTTATACCTGGGCATGTCAAAGTAAAGGGTTATGAGCTAGCCGACCAGCTGGCAAGTACTGTAAGAATGAATGCAGGAAGGTGCAAGGACAAAGCTAATATCATTAACGTGATACAGATTAGAGGGGCAGCGGTGGTGTAGCGGCTAGACGCTCGCATGGGGATCTGAAGGTCATGGGTTCAGTTCCTGACTTGAGTCGACTGACTTTCTGCAAAAATGACCTTGGCTTCCAGGTCAACCCAGCCTCAAATGGGCATCAGGTTAAGCCCTGGAAAGTAAAGGTGGCCAGAGTGATGCTGACCACACTACCTACCAAGTGCCGATTGGTCTATTAAATATAGGTCTAGTGGAAAAGGGTCCTTTACTTTGACAATGAACTGGGCTCAATCTTGGATCAGGTCAGTGTTATTGTGCTGGCAGTGGTGTGAAGATAATTCAGCTCATAACTCAGTGTTCCTGTGTTGCCCATCCATGTGGCCAAGCCATCCAGATTTGATCTCTTTGACTTCCACTTGCTCTCTTTCCCCCAATCTTGTCATCCGTTACCAAGTTCTTGAGTCTCTTCCCTCTCATGTCAGAAAAAAACTGTCTGTGTCTAATTATTTTAATCTGCCAGTGTGAAACCCTGAATATTCTTAACATCTTGAAGAAGGTAGTTTGCCATGACTTTCCTTCTTGGCAGTGTACAAATTAGTCAGGTGACCATAGCCATTGTGACTACAGCATGATCCTGTGTTTACTGTTGGGGAACTTGAGAGAACATGGATCGACGAAATCAAAGAAATTATATATCCAAATAGAATGACAATAACCAGTGCTGCCTATCTAGACTGGATCGTAAACTGTTCCTCCCAATGACGCTTAACGGCAAAAGTTGAAACTGATAATAACCACGATGAAAAGTTCATAATTACAAAAAGAGATACATTATGAAAATTCCCTGTGTGTATTCCCGGGCCCCATTGTAGGGAAAACAAGAATAGACCCACTACCTACTCAAAAGCATGTTGTAAGAGTCGACTAACTGGGAGCTTCCTTCGAAGTTGGAGTATATCTGCCTGAGAGGCAAGGAACTAACAGTCTGTAGGCAAATGAGTTAGATCTGTGAAACGGATGTGCAGGCAACACTGAGATTCTGAAAAGGACTAGTCCAGAAGTGGATGAACAATCAGAAACTTCTGTTTGAGTTTACAGCTGGTGAACACGAAAAAGATTATGAAAATACTTTTTTCATGAACTTTACCTTCACAAACCTCTAAGGCTTTCTGCAAAGCACACACCTGTCAGTTTACCTCTATCAATCATTCAGATGCCACCACCACAAAGAAGGTTTGACAGACTGCTGTTAGTTCATCTCTTGATGCTACCTCATCATTTGAATGACTCTTTCTCTCTGTACTTAATGATGCCGTCTAAGTCTTTAACTCTTTAACCATGAAAGGCCTAAATCTAGTCAATTCCGGTTGTGCCACAAACCCGTAAAATATAAATATAGGGCCAGGTCTTTAGTGACCTATTCTCCAGAAGCATAGTTAAATGTGCACATGCGCAGTGTTTAATAGGCCGGGAAAGGAACACAGTAACTAGAATTTCCTAGAACGCTAACAGCTTTTTGAAAGCCAAGTTGATGACAAATTTTCCCATTCTCCTCAGTGATATAGATCACGGGGTCACAGCATAGGTCACCAAAAACATTTTTTTTACATCCTAGGAATGAACTCTTTAATGCTTCATTCTGTTCCTGTTTAATGATTACCTCTTGATTTATCTTTACATATTTTGAAGAAAAAAACTAAAATGTAGATAAGTATTTATTAAAAATTTATTAATGACCTGTGTTAACATGGTAATTTTGTATAAAATTCCAATAGGTTCATGACCTTTTTTTAAAAGCATTCATGGGGTGAAAGGGTTAATTCTCAGTGCTTTTAAGTGCTGTGTAAGCACAGATACCGTATGTTCGATGAAGGAAAATAAGAAGCAAAATAAGAATAAGACAAAATTGAAGCAAATGCCACAGTACATACCCTTTACGCTGGCATCATAACCAATGTTTTTAACTGTCTCCCGTACAATTTTCTGATAGTCCACATTGGCTTTGGAAACAACATCGCCACAAACAAAGATCATGCCGGTTTTGGCTGCACACTGACAGGAAACTCTGGCAAAAGGATCTTTTTGCAGGAAAGCATCAAGGATTGCATCACTCACTTGATCACAAATCTTGTCTGAAAACAATGAAGCAGCATTTGAATGCAGGTGAGAAATGGACAGGTGAGAAACAGACAGGTGAGAAATGGACAGGTGAGAAATGGACTGGTGAGAAATGGACAGGTGAGATATAGCAACAAGCAGAAATGCATTTTATCTCAAAATATATGTGTTATTTGAGAACAGTGCTAAGAACGTCATGAGTTTTGAGTTAAGAACCGACATCACAGCACTGGGGACATTCCCATAAGAGCTCTGTCCCCATCTTTAGCAGCAAGCACAGCGTTCTAATTCTGATAGTAGTCTGACTGTATGTCTGTCTCACCCCATGGGCTGACAGAAAAACATAAAGGAGATAGTCTTTCTGAAGATAAGATTTTGTCTTCTTAGCGTTCATAGCTGTACACTCTGACAGAAGATTTTTGTTGTTTGTCCACTTCTAAACTTTGGTCTTTCTACTGTTTTTTTCCCCATGAAGTCTGTCAATAACTGTGATAGCATTTTTTCTTCTTAGCGTCCATAGCTGTACACTCTGACAGAAGGTTTTTGTTGTTTGTCCACTTCTACACTTTAGTCTTTCTACTGTTTTTTTCCCATGAAGTCTGTCAATAACGGTCACCAAGCTTTTGAGTTTATTCTTCTTCTCAGCTGTCTAAATAAATCTTGAATGTTTAAGTCTAATTTTAGTTTGTTTTCTAGCCTTAGCTGTGCAAGGTTAGTTGCGTATCCTTTACAAGACGTTGCAGAACCAACCCCAACAGCCCCTGGCTATTGTGTGGTTTTTCTAGGCAAATTTACGTCCAGTAGTTTGCCACTGCTTTCTGGTTAAGCTTTAGCTGTTGGGTGCTGATTATCCTATCTTCTGTATCTTTTTTTTCCCCTCCCATTTAATTTTTTCTTTGGGTTAAACAAATCTAAACTGAGTAATCAAAATTTATTTCTTCTTCTGCGTTTGTCTTTAACTCTCCGAGTCCTAAGGAACTCATCACGCCGTAATAGGATACTATCCAGCAACCCAATTGGCGCGTGACGTACATAGGTCTTAATTTACCACTGACTAGTGTAAAAAGTGTAAAAACATAAATCGCTCAACTGAAACTTCCTCTCGTTCTTTGTGTTTGATATCACATGTGTTAACCAATAGGTTTAATAAAATAGACAATATAACCAGCTTCTTATGGGGACAATTAGTAGAAGTACTTTGGAGTGGCTGCTGCTTCGAAGAACTGAGCACGCATGGGTATGCCCAATGTGCAGTGACATCAAGTGTGATAACAAAACATAAAATAACATCTTGTAGGGAATCGGCAGTCCGAACCCCAAGTTCAAGGTGTCTCCTTCGTGCCAAAGAACTGCATGGCTGTTGGGTGAACAGTCATTAACGATGGCAGGCAGGTCGTTGTAGGTGCGACGCCTGCTGGTGGACGTAATGTCCTAAGTTCCTTCCCCAGCTAATAATGAGAGTACTGCTGGGGTGACCGTTTATTAACCTTCATATAATGCTTCCAGTTAAAATGGACGCTAAGCATGGCCACCTTTTTTTTTAAAGCCGTGGCAAATGTTTTTTTGGTTTTTTTTAATTCTGCCAGATGGTGGCCGTTGCACTTTTGCTCCATTTGTAGACTGGAAGGATGTAGTTTCGTCGCCCAGCTTCTGAGTTGAGTGCATGGCATGACACTGTGAGCTGCGTTTGTTTTTCGTTGGCACAGGAGCAGAGCAACTGTGGGGTGACCTGTTTGCTATGAAACTGAAACTAGGATTACCAGATTACTTGGTGTTTGAAAAAAATATGGCCACTGAGCAGTATTTTACACATTTGCCAGAATGAATTATGGCTTTTGAAGCCTCAAATTTAAATAAAGCACGTATTTGTCAGATTTATCCAAAGTCAAATAGAGAAAGTTGTTTCAGTTATGTATAGTCAAACTTTATTGAGGGGTAGCTCTAATATGTGCATCGTGCAAAGCGTACAACAATAACTAAATCAGCTGGTACAAAGAAATGAATATTAGTGAAAAAACAGCGATTCTCTTCAGTGTCAGTTCTTGTGCCATACTCATTATTTAGGTACATACCTACAAAATTACTGGCAAATTAAGTGTTATATAAACTTCATTTTCTGATGCTAAACCCCCTAGGAGTTAAAAGGCGGTTGTTGAGTGGCACCTTGTGCTGTGGCACTGTGGCTTACAGCCAGGCTGAGATATTTCGGCTCTCCTCTGAACTTCTACCCCCACATTATGGTGGCCTGAAATATCCGTTCAGGGCTCAGTTCTATTAAAAATATGCCGGCTTCGTATAACGAAATAAATGCTCTAACAGGGTCTCAGCGATATGTTACTTGTGGACCTGTTTCTGTGACTATGCCTCACCGCCGACCGTATCCCCCGATTTAGCAGCGGTAGAAGTCAGACTTGTCGGCATGCGCAAAATGCAATTAAACTCACTGCCAAGTGTATCTCCCGCACCGCTACGCGCGGATGGGGGGCTAAACTAGATGGCTGGGACTCACGAGCAGCAGCTACAGCATCTCCTGCAACTTCCTCCAAACACTTTGCTCATGAGTCCCAGGCACCTAGTTTAGCCCCCCATTAGCGCCGAGCGTAGCGGCGCTAATAAATATGCTCGGCGGTGAGTTTAATTGCGTTTTGCGCATGCCGACAAGTCTGACATCTACCGCTGCTAAATCCTAAATCGGAAAACAGTATTGGTAATCTGCAAGGGAGTGCGTGGTCACCCCGCCATATTGCTTTCATCGTCTGTAATGTCTTGAAATTGTCAACGGTCGCTTTTATCATCTGCTAGTATCGTATGCAGAAACGCTTGACATTGTCACCGGTCGCTTTTATCGTCTGCAATGTTTCATCTCTTTAAATTGTCAAGTAATCCTAGTTTTGCAGTGATTTGTTCATTGGTAGAAAGTCCGCATTTTTTATTGGACTGAGCCCCGAACGGATATTTCAGGCCGCCATAATGCGGGGGTAGAAGTTCGGAGGAGAGCCGATATTATTATTTCATTTTATTTGCGCATTTGATTTTGGCTCAACATATCCGATTTCAGCATCAGCCTAATTAATCGCCTTTTACGACATGCTGCTCAGACTTAAAGACCAACGGGTAAATTCTCCGGTTCCACCCCCGAAAAAGCGGTCCAGAAAATTATACACTGTCGTAATTTGAATTTACCAGGGTGTCCTTCGCCAACTGACTCGGAGGTAAACAAAAATGTATCAGCGTGACTCAAGTTTTCCCCTGGAAAATTATAATTGCAGTTTTCAGCGTGGTTCATTCTGTGTCCATCCATGAAGAAGGATAAATCTGTAAGTTGCTCCCGTTTGTCTCTAGAACTTCAACTGTTTAGTCTTCAATTTCAATCTTGTCGCTGGATATTCGTCTGCCTCGAAGTCTTTTAACAACCAAAACAGAAAGAGCATTACGTCCCTTGATGCCAGGGAGGAACCATTATTTGAAATAATTCATCAGCAAAATGGTCAACATAATCACAACAACCACCCACGGCCATCTTTAGATATAAATAGCCTGAAGATGGGCGTGAACCACCTCACCGTGTGGATTCAGTGGGTCCCATTGTGGGGGTAAAAAAGAATAGACCCATTACCTCCCCAACAAACATCCCGTATGAGTCGACTAAATTGTGGCTTCCTTCAAAGTCGAAATGCATCTGACTTAAAAATATTGTTCATTGTAAAGATCATTTTCATCGCACATAAGACATGACCATAAAATGCTCCGATCTATTTCAAGTGTTTTAAGGCTAACAACTCCCATTCTACTCTTTTTGATGTAAGACATGTGGCTCCTGCATGGTTCCAATCGGCACAACCAGGTTATACAGTCTTGTCAATGAAAAGCCATTTTCCACGAAACTGAAAACCTCACAGCGTATGGCATTGACGATGTCTCTCCTGTCATTAGATGACCTATTCTTTATAGTCGCACTGCCAGCCAGAGAGTCTGCTCTCTCATATTTCACACTAGTATCCCCTGGGACAAAAAGTAAGTAGATTTTGCGAAACGCCGAGTGATGTATCAGAGAAGCCACTGTTTCCCTGTGTATCCTGCCTTGATCTTCTGTAGCATGCTCATTTGAGTCGAGGAGCAACATGCATTGATGAACTGAGAGGCAAAAAACCAAGACAAAGTTACAGTCGAAAGGATCGACTTCATTGGACTGGGTTTTTATCTCACATGGCTTAACGAATGTTGACAGAAGACACACGGTTAGATGAAATAAGATGTGTAAGAATGTGCGAATTTGGCAAGGACGGACGTATGAGAGGAATAGAATAACATGTCTATAAACAGTGTGCTACGGGAACAGTTATCTTCTACATCTTGATTAACACATTTGCTGCGGGAGACGCAACATTTATGGGTATTCGATTTTTAAATCAGTTGTTAAAGCAAGACGGACACATAACCAGTTTGTGACTATGATTTCCTTGGGACTCTCCCATATACCGATTGTGGAACTCTGCACTGTCTGACTGAGCACGCATGGGAATGCCCTGAGAGCTGTGATGTCAACGCAATATCAGAACGTAGGGAATATCGATTACTCTTTTGTAACCGAATACAACTTGAAGAGAAATATCGATATAAGGGTTGAGGAAATGACCCCATGACCTCCGAGGGAACATGCAGACGGACACACGGTTTGTTGAAACTGGACGCGACAATTTTACATTTGACATCATTTGTGTTGTTGCAACCGGTCTTGAGTTGGTGTAAATCTGTTGATTGATGTATATTTAGATCGCTTGAGATATATGTGGAGGTATTACACTCATGATTTTTATATTGCTTTTTATTTACGTAATAGAACAGTTTGCGGTTTGCAATAATTTAATTTTATTGTTGTTTAATAGGCGGTATACTGGCTTTTGGTGAAGAGCTCTTTAATATCATCAGTACATTTCTCCTAGGTCGGCCTCTTATTTCTCATATCGCCTGCATTGGTAGTTGTCCTTCCTGCATTCCTACAACATGACCAAATTATTTGATCTTCTGCTTCTATGTTATGTTATTGCAATCGACGTCACTGCACATTGGGCATTTCCATGCATGCTCCGTCCACTGATGCAGCAGCCAATCCATGGTACTTCTACTAATTGTTCCTATGAGAAGCTGGTTATACTGTTTCCTATCTCGACCTCGAAGACGGCATAGGTGTGCTTCACCATGCTTTACTCCCATGTCACACAATCATGTTAGTGTCAGGGATTCCTCATCCACTAGCTCAGTCCATACACGGTTGATGATATCTTTTCTTCCCATGCTTCTTTCACATGCATTGGTGCATTGCTTGCCAGTTGGTCCACTCGCTCATTACCCTTTACGCCCGCATGACCAATTGTGTAGATCCAAGCGAGGGAGGTTAATTGCAATTTTCGAATACTTTCTGTCCATTCAGAGCTCATACCACCTGTTGCTATCTTCTGAAGCATGTTCATGGAGTCTGATAAAATTACTGCAAATGTGGCGGTTTGCTCGGATACCCATGCTAGTGCTCTAGAAGCATCTGCTATCTCCATGGTCATGCTTGACGTGGTTGTCTGGTAAGCGCTGCTGTCCTCTTGTATTGTTTCCCCCATTCTTTGCACTGTTTGTTTTCCCCATTCTTTGCGCTGTGTATCCCTATGCTGACCTTGATCCACCCTTCACAGATCCCTCTGTGTAAATATCTTCTGGGTCTGAATGCTGATCTATCAGTTCCCTTACTTCTATGTCTACAGCTGCAGAAATCTTATTCCTGCAGTACCTTCCGAGTGTGATGACAACCTTAGAAGTGCCATGCACGTCTACTGGTGTATTTGTCCATTCTTTTCCATGACTGATCTCGTCTAGGTCACATACCTGCTGGATTAAGTCTTCAGCCTTGCCTATCCAGGAGCGGGCTCTTTTGAGACGCGTTTTTTTTGGGTTGTGTATAGCTTTGTGCAGTGGGTGGTTAAAGTCTGCCGATACCCTCATGTATGCCTTGACCTGTGCAACTTTGTTTCTGCTAGTCGTGATCAGCAAACCAAAAACATAATGCATGGCCTTGCAGGAGGTGTCTTTTGTGCAGCCGAGTATGAGTCCGATGGCCTCATTTTGTACTCTGTCCAGTCTTTCGGGAAGTGAGGAGGCCAATACCATAGTCAATGACACTTAATACAAGCCCTTAATAGAGAAGGAAAAGTAGGCGTTCAATATCAGCTGCTACTAGCACCTTGAGTGCTGTGCAGACCTTTCCTGGCTCTAAGTATGACGTTGTCTGCGTGGCATTTGCATGGCAATCATCTGTCAAATGTCATGCCCAGGTATTTCATTGTGTCCATTCTCTTGATGTCCACACTACACATGCTTACGACTGGCATTGGTGTACTGATGGTGTGGGTATTCAGAGAGAACCATGTTAAGGATTCCTTGGATGGGTTCACTTATGCTCTTGATTCTTGGCACCACTCACTGAGTCTGTCTAGTTCGTGTTGTGGCATGGTTGTAATTTGGTGCCTATTTTTACCTCGACGTTACACAAGGATATCATCTGTAAACCAGAATTTTGTGCATTGTGATTGTGTTGATCACCTATGTATTTACGTACTAACAAGTTTAGATCATTCCTTTACGATGTCAGGGCTTTCAGAGGTGCCAATTTATTTACTGACCATTTTCTGGTGCTAAGTAAAATCAAGTTGAAACTTAAAAGATATATAACATCTTATAATCGTAGAAACCAGTATAGTTTAGGTTATCTCAGGGATAAAGAAGTTAAGAAACAATTTTCAGTTACAGTCTCTAATAAGTGCCAGGTTTTGCAGCAGTTAGCTGAAGATGTCAGCCCTGAAGTCTGCTGGGATCAGATCAAAGGAATCTGGAATTAATCTTGTGTAGAAGTTCTTGGCAAGAAAGAACAGAAACATAAAGTGTGGATAACACCAGAAACCATTAAATTGACTGAAAAAAGAAAAAGGTAAAAAAAAAGACAGACTTAAACAATAGCAAAACTAAAGCTGATAAAGCTAGAGCTCAGGATAAATACACAAAAGCCAATAAGAAAGTTAGGAGGTGTATAAGGGCAGATGAAGTGAAATATTTAAATGATCTAGCACAAGAAGCGGAGACAGCAGCAGTAAAAGGAAACCTAAGAGAACTTTACAGTAACACAAGAAAATTAGTAGGTAAATATAGTCAGCCAACTGGATCAATCAAAAATTGTCAAGGAAAGGTACTTACTAACACTAAAGATCAAATGGACAGATCGGTTGAATATTTTTAAATGCTTCTAAATAGACAGGCCCAGAGGTTCCCCCAGATATCCAGCCTTTAGAAATGGAACTGGATATCAACCGTGAGATACCATCTAAGGAGGAAATTATAACAGCTATCAATCTTCTCAAGTCAGGTAAGGTGGCAGGTCCAGATGGTATCCCAGCAGAAGCCATAAGGGCCAGCATAAACACATCAACAGAATTGCTACATAGATTATTCAGTAAAGTCTGGGAGACCGAAGAAATACCATCAGACTTGAGAGAAGGATATCTTGTAAAACTGCCCAAAAAAAGGTAATCAGGAGTGTGAATATTATAGAGGAATTATGTTTCTGTCAGTTCTTAGAAAAATATTAAGTAGAATTATTTTGGAAAGATTAAATGATGCTATTGATAAAAAGCTAAGAGATGAACAGGCAGGTTTTCGGCCAAACAGATCCTGTACTGACCAGATAGCCACATTACGAATGATAATAGTGCAAAGTATTGAACTGAACTCACCACTATACATTGTCAGCAGAAAATTATTAACTTAGTAAAGGCAACATGTAAAGACATGAAATGTCGAGTTCTTCATGAGGGAAAGCTAACAGATGCATTTGAAATAAAAACAGATGTGCGACAGGGATGTCTTTTGTCGCCTCTCTTATTTTTACTGGCTATAGACTGGACTATGAAAACAGTAACTGCTAACACCAAGAATGGAATTCAGTGGACCCCTACAAAACAGCTTTATGATCTGGACTTCGCTGATGATATTTCTCTTCTGTCCCATTCACAGAATCAGATGCAAGATAAATTAAATATACTTAATGCGAGATCACAGCAGCTAGGTCTGAAAATCCATATAGGAAAGACAAAGATAATGAGAATAAATCAGGCAAATAGTAATGTGGTTTCTTTAAATGGCACCCCACTCCAAGACGTGGAGTCGTACACCTATTTGGGCAGTAATGTAGATAAAGATGGAGGAACTGATGGAGATATTAAAATAAGAATACAAAAGGCAAGAGGAGCTTTCATAGCACTAGGGAATTTGTGGAGATCAAAAGAAATGAAAAGAAATACTAAACTTGACATTTTTAATTCTAATGTCAAATCTGTACTTTTGTATGGGATGGAAACATGGAGAACAACTAAGGCAATTAATAATAAATTGCAGACATTCATTAACTGGTGCCTGCGCAGAATAGAAGGAATTAAATGGTATGATAGAATAACTAATGTAGAGCTTTGGGAGAGAACTAAGCAAGCTCCAGTAGACCAAGAGGTAAGGAAAAGATGCTGGCGTTGGATAGGACACACATTGAGAAAACTGGAGAACAGCACAACTAGAATGTCTTTGCATTAGAACCCACAGGGGCAAAGGAATAAAGAAAGGTAAAAACACATGGAGAAGAGAGCTGGAGAATGAAGTTAGAAAAGATGGGGAGGACATGGGGAGAGCTCCTTGTAATAGCGAAGGATAGAACAACTTGACTTGAATTGATTGAGGACCTATGCTCCATTGAGGGATAGAAAGGCAGAAGAAGAAGACTGTGTTGTTCCCACATTCTGTCTGATACTTTCATTTCTAACTTTGTCTTGGATGGTTAACCAGTTAGTTGGCAGCTTTTCCCAGGCATCTAATTTGGTGTTAATTTTTCCTGTTATGTAAGCCATTGATTTATATAATGTCCCAGTCTGGCAATGGTAGCACAGTGTTGGTAGTTGGATCCTCTTCTAACTTGAAGTATAGAGGTTTACCAGAGAGATTGTCAGACTTCTCCGTGTCTTCAGTTATGCCACACACGCGCGGTGTCTATTTTCAGCAGCCAGTGCAGAATTCATGTACCAGTTCTGCCAGTTGCAGTATGATTATATTTTCATCAGAATGAGCACAAGTTGTTTTGGTTACTCACTAGTGCTTATTTTTATAAATACTTGATGTCTTATGAAATAAAAAGCAGGCAATATAGTTTCTTCTTTTTTGTTTTCCAGATTTCCAAGCACAGAATCCTGAAGTTTTATAAATACAGAAGGAAACAGTTTACAAGATTTTCTTATTCAGACAGTACGAGTTCCAAAAGAAAATGTTGTGCTTGCCCAAGTTGTGTAACCCAACAAATGCCAAGTATTTGCTGTCCTGTTTGAACCGTGTATCAAATCAGGGTTTGGATCCTGTGCTGTCATCAAGTACAGCAGTTAGAGCAGGATGCCTGACTCGGCTGAAGCTAGGTCACAGCTCCCTACATACATCACGTAAACAGGGAATTATGGGTTGTACATCGTTCAGTTTCAATGATTACCCCTGTAAACAAGGGAATGTCCAGATAGGACATTTTAGAACCATCTTCCCATTTTCTACATCCACAAAATGTATGCAGGAAAATCTGGCAAACACAAATACGCTGCTTGAAGAAGTCAAAGCAAAAGAGTATATAACTGTATATTTTAACAGCAGATTAAAATATATTCGCTTCTTTTGCACACTGTCTAAGTTGTCGACTATCGTCTTTGTTGCTGGAACACCAATAACCTTAGCAGCACTGCTAATGAACATAATTTCACAGAATAGTGCTTTGGGTGCATTATTTACAATGGGGTTTTACTCATTTCTGTTCACTGGACAGAGTTACTTGATGATGTCAAAAATAATATGCAAGATTATGATCAGTGAGGATGAGAGCTATGCGAAAATATCTCATTTAAATGTGTTTGGTAAGCGGCGGGATGTTTATGTGAAAGTCTCCGACATTGTGCCAGTTACTGGCTCGATATATGATAAAAAACTACTTGTAGTGCAATTTAAGGGAAGTTCTAAGAAGCTGTTCTTGCTTCCAAATGCTGGCGGAGACGACTCAGACTTTGAAACTTTAGACATGTTGTTTTCTGGAGCTGTTGTGAGCAAGGAGGATAAGCCTCAAATTTAATCTTATATTTCTGCGTCATCTTTCTGCCCCCTTGAAAATGCGGGCTGCCACATTGTGGTTTACAGCTAGGTAACGATATTTGCATGTTTTCAGCCCAACACATCCAATTTCTTTAGCTTCTTTATGTTCACCAGCTGTAAACCCTGGCAGAAAATTCCGGCCATTCAACCACTTCTGGATTTTGGTTATATTCCAGAACTTGAGTTTTGCGTGCACATCCATTTTACAGATCTTGCTTATTTAGTATGCAGACTGTTGGTTCCTCGCCTCTCAGACAGATGCACTCAGAATTTAAAGGAAACATCCCTAATTAGTCACCTTGTATGACATGCTTGTTAAAGGGTAGTGAGTCTGCCCCCCCCCACCCCCCGTTCTTCTCCTGCCCCCCCCCCCTCCTTTAACCTTTGCCCTAATGGGGTCCCGGAACCCACAGGGGGGACATCCAGTTTCAACAGATTCCAAGTCAGTCGCCTTTTACAACAAACTTGTTAGAGGGGCAGTGGGTCTCCCCTCCACCCCCCACTCCACACCCCCCCCCCCCCTCCCTAAAAGCGGTAGTGGAATCCACAAGGGCTAATCTCTTTTTTTGTGTGTGATAGGTAGCTTACCCTGCTAAAGAATTGTTCAGGTATATGATGAAACGTCGTATTTCTTCTTCTGTGTCATTTGCTCTCTCCTTCTTTGTCTGTCTCATCTCTCAGTCTTCTTTCCACACTCTCACACACTTGCTTACATACAAAATGTAAACATAGCTAATACCAGACTTGTTCAAATATACCACAGAGGTACCAAAAATGGACAACAAATGGACAAAAATATACCACAGAGGTACCAAAAATGGACAACACAGGAAGTCAAGAAATGAAGATGTCCAAAAGAAGGGGTGTTTTGATGAGAAAAGCTAAAGATGCTGTACCGGATTTTATTCATGATAGTGTTAAGATCGCAAAGGAAAGAACAGAATGGAGTTAAGACTTTGAGCCCAACATGTAAATGGACATGTGCAGTGTCAGCGTCTGTCTCATTCATTAAGTGCCAAAACCGAACTCAGTTGTGGATAATGGTGACAAAATATAGAGCCTGTTAATACACTTCCCTGATTCATAGATTGTACAGCTAGACTTTTCAGATAAGGGCAAAATAATACAAGAGTTTTCACCATTGAAATTCCTCCAGCAGTAGCAGTTAAAGAATGGAAAATGATTGTCACATTCAGAGCAGCTAAGCAAAAGCTACATTTCAAAAGATGAAAAATACATATGATAAATTACTTTCATCGACTATCAGAAAAGGATAACTGAAATGTTGTGTTGAATCTGTGAATCTTCGAATTTCTGCTTCACCATTCTCAAACAAAAACTGAGGATACACATGTATTCTGTCTAGATTCCACTACCTTTGACATATCATGGAAAGATACAAAACCAAACGAAAAGTATATCTGGGAGTTTCACTATATGACAAACGCAAACGAAACGTGAATGTTGCGGCTATGGAGCCTTCTTCAGCACATACATAGAATAGACAATACTACAGAAATACACTTATCTTCGTGTCTGGTGGCAGCCAGGTTGAGGTCAAGACAATAGTCTGGCAAGTCACATGGGGCCTAGAAAATAAATATCCTGGGATGATCCAGGGGCCCTTTGATATATCAATTTTGGATTTCCTTGCCAGGTGGTTTAAAAGCGAAAAAGCCATTCTTGTGGCATTCTATTATGTCTAAGTGAAAGGGCTGTCTGTGACTCACTGTCTGGGGATAGTGTTGACACATGTCCGAACCATTTGATCTGTTGTCTCTTGATGTAGTTTAGCATTGGTTCTGTCCCAACTTCTTTCCTGAAATCGTCACTTTCAACCATGTCTCTTCTAGTTACATTTAGAATTTATTATAGACATGTCATTTCAGTTTTTCTTTTGTGGTTAATGGCCATGTTTGACAGTGCTTACACAATGCTGGTGTAAGGACTGTATTGAATAGCGCTCTTTTGGTGTCCATTTTTACATGTTTGTTTTTCAAAATTGGTGGCATTTCATGCAACAAAATTTAAGCTCTGTCGACCTGAAGGTTCAGTTAGATTTCAGACATCCAACTCAGTCATGGTTGCATATCCACTAGAAATTTGCCTGCTGCCTGACTGTTTAAGGTTCAAATCCATATTTAGGTGAGGGGGTGGGGGGGGGGGGGTCTCCATAGCAAAATGGTCGAGCAGTCTATAGGTCATGGGCTGATTTCACAGCTGTATTGTTCGGTTCACCAGTGCGATATTTACAGAGACCCTGATATTGCCGCTAGAGCTATGATTTTCATCCTTTGTGCATTGCTGTCAGCCTTCAGTTCTTCAGAGAGAGAGAGAGAGAGAGAGAGACTGAGCTATATGGGATAAAACGTGGTGCAATAAAATTGATCCTCTTGACTTTAACCTTTTTTCAGGCAGAAAGTTTGCAAAATTCACAGTAATTCCCATCTCAGCCAGCCTCAAATGGATACCAGGTAATATCCTAGCAAGTAAAGACAGCTGACGTGATGTTTACCATATCACCCTTTAATTGCCAGTTGGTCTCTAAAAAATCTGACAAAATTACATAAAAGTCCTTGTAAGGACTAAGCACTATTACATCCTAGAAGCCAAGTCAGAGCGGAAAAACGTGTCGAGAAATAGAACCAGACATAACCAATCAGAAAATGGGAATCACAAGACGAGCTGATAGGACAGAACTAAAATGCAATATACAGATGTGTCCTACCATAGTCAAGAACGAAAAAAGAGACACAATTAAGAAATAGAAGACCCTTGCCTCCGGATACAACAACATCAGGTATAGAACAACTTTATACAAGTGAGAAACAACATCAGTCAAACCGTTTAGAACAACATAACCAAATGGAACCGAAGGAAACCATATTCAAACAATTCAAACCTAATAAAGATCACAAATATAGGTATCAGCTACACAGCTAAAAATGCCTGAACGTGATCATATTATTCTATTTCTTTTTTCAAGCAAGCAGGCAAGCAAAAAATCTGCCTAGCACTATTTGCGATATGCCGAAGGTGTGTAAAGAGTCCTTGACCTCAAAGAATATTTGAACTTACAACCAACACCGACGCTTGCCAGTCACTGATCTAATTTGGGCTGGGTTTTTTTTTTAATGTTAAAAATATATGTTAATGAATCTGTTACAAATTGATGAAGCTGTGTACTGCTTTTTAAAAATAAATTTGTATGGTTGCATATCGTTCTCAGGAGGGTTGATAAGGGACAGCAGAAAAGTCACCAGAATGGTTAATTTTTGCCTCTCTGGAAGTAATGTTTTGCTTCTCTATTCCTATCTCCCTTCTCTTCCTCTCTCTCTCTCTTACTCTCTCTCTCTCTCTCTCAAGTATAAAGGGTTAGAGACTCAGTGGAGGGAGACTATATTGAAGCAGAGAGAGAGAGAGAAAGACTTGGATTGAATCAGAGAGCATATCTCTGTGTGACATACACACTCCAACAGAATCAGTGTTTGAGTCAGCTCTCCCTGTCTACTTCAGTTTTTAATTCTCTCTTTCTGTACTTCAATTTTGGAGTTCTCTCCCCCTCTGCTCCCACTGCCATTTCTAGTTAATCTTTGTCTCTCTGGCCCAGTCTGTTTATGTATATGTGTGTGCATGTATATGTGTGTGCATGTATATATGTGTGACGGAGTTAGTGAGTAGGTGAGTGTGTGCATATTTTTCAATGCTTTTGGACTTTCCTTGATATTCCTATTATGCATACTGTTTTATGAACATAACATGCTTTATTGATAAAATACAATTGACGTGCAAAAGAAGTGTGTTTAGAAAGGCGAAATGTAGCAGGGGCCTGCCTGCCTAATTAGCGACCCTTTGAAAATAAAGTTTCTTCATTCGTTTGTTCCTTGTTCCAGATTTTCATTTTCGTTCTCTCTCAATCCTTTGCACTCCTGAAGTTAACCTGGTCAACAAATGCAGCATTATCATACAGTGTGTCCTGAAGTTAACCTGGTCAACAAATGCAGCATTATCATACAGTGTGTCCTGAAGTTAACCTGGTCAACAAATGCAGCATTATCATAGTGTCCTGAAGTTAACCTGGTCAACAAATGCAGCATTATCATAGTGTCCTGAAGTTAACCTGGTGTCCTGAAGTCCTAACCTGGTCAACTGGTCAACAAATGCATGTGCATTATCAACAAATAGCATATCATGTGTGTCCTGAAGTTAACCTGGTCAACAAATGCAGCATTATCATACAGTGTGTCCTGAAGTAACCTGTCAACAAAAGTCATACAACCTGAAGTTAACACAATGCAGCATTATCATAGTGTCCTGAAGTTAACCTGGTCAACAAATGCAGCATTATCATACAATGTGTCCTGAAGTTAACCTGGTCAACAAATGCAGCATTATCATACAATGTGTCCTGAAGTTAACCTGGTCAACAAATGCAGCATTATCATACAATGTGTCCTGAAGTTAACCTGGTCAACAAATGCAGCATTATCATAGTGTCCTGAAGTTAACCTGGTCAACAAAT